TGTATTCCTGCGGCCCCTCGATCTGCACCTTGATGAAACAAGCCCTGAACTCCTGAGGGTTGGGCCACCATGAGAGGTAGTCACCGGTCCAGGAGGTCAAGTCGCTCTCCTTGAAGGGCACCACGTTGTACTCATACTTGTCCACCTCCACGCGGTAGAAGCGGAGGTGGTTGGCGCTGACCGGCGCATTCTCACACTCCTCCAGGCTGCGGTAAGGGTAGATGGGACCATTGGTCTCGTCAACGTTGTTGGGGTCAGGCTTGGCCACATTGATTTGGAAAGCCGTCTTCTTCAAGTTGGGGTCATCATGGTCCAACCGGCGGTAGCCCAACTTGCCCAGGTAGGGTTGGGACACCCCAATGGCATTAGGGTTGAGTTTAGGACTGGAGGCCACAGCTTCCAGCTCCTCCCCACCCAGCGTGGCAGTGACATACGCCGAGTAGGCGTCGGGACGTTGGCCGTCGCAGAAGGCGGGCAGGCAGGCGCCGTTGGGACCCGTCACCACGCTGTCAAAGCGACCCCACGCCCGGGGGTTGGCAGGATAACCGGGCTGGGGCTCCAGGTTGATGAGGCTGATGACCACCCCTTCCAGTTGCTCATAGGGGTTGAACTTCTCATTGCTGTAAGCCCTGACCTTGACGAAGCAGCGGCGATCCTCCGGCACGTCCAGGTTGAAGAGACGCCTCTCCCGGATCTCCAGGTTCCCCACCAGGAAGGTCCTCTCCTCCCTCTTCCCCCGGCTGCCCCCGGCCGGGCGGAGGACCCCCTCCTCCTCCCACAAGCCAGTCTCAGGGTTCAAGGACCACAACTTCATCTTCTGCAGGTGCTCCGGCATCCAGACCTGCCCCGCGTCCATCCTCACCTCCACCGGCCCCGTCTGCAGCGCCGCGCCGCTGTCCCCTTCCCGAAAATCCACGGCGAACATGCCGTAGGTCCTCAGAGGGACAATCTCCCCCTCGGCGTCGGCGAAGCTGAGGTCACTGGAGGCGGCGCTGGCTGTCGCCATGTCCCTGGGGTCTAGGAAGGTGACACTGGCTTTGACTGTGCCCTTGAAGACCTCCCCGGAGGGACGAAGGAAGGCGCCAGCGGGAAGGACAAGCTCCCCTATGGGCTCCTTGCCGTTGGCTTCCCCCAGTAGGATGGCGTTGCTCTGGCTGCCGTCCAGCTCCACCGGCTCCTTCTTCCTCAGCATCTTCACCTCCTGGTAGACGGCACCACCGCGGCGGTTGAAGGGCA